CAAAATAAAGCAACAATTAGACAGGGTTCCAATTCTGGCTTTGTTACTCTTACTAATTATATAATGTAAAGCAAACCTCTTAGCTCCTTTGCTTGTAAAAAGAGAACATTAGAATGTATAGACTCTAGAAGTTTACGATGTGCTGATATTTGGGATTGTGTTTGCTGTACTATAATACAGGGAATTCTTCAGCTATATATTTTCTAAGCGAAAGCACTTCAGAATGCTAAAAATAGGCCCCAGATGTGTCTAAGAAAGTCTTATTTGATGAAATCATATGTAAAATTTAAACTGACCTTATTCTTCTAGAATCATGACTCCTCTGAACACTATCATTGGCTTTCCTGTTCTACCATGCATTGCTATATTAACTTGACAGTATGAATCATAAACACATTGTAACAGGGGCTTATGTGTCTTTGGCTCATTCATGACACCAACTAATAGGATGGAAATACACTTAACATGCATTCACTGTGATTTCATCACTAATAACACCATGAATTTAAAGTTGAGCAAGTATTTTGGCAACAAAATGATTTGTTTTGTATGAAGCATCTGTTCAAGACCTCCTTAGCACCAAATATGATGATATAACAATTACTTGCCCAGAAATTTTACACAAGACTAGTAATGAAAAAAATGCCTAATCATCCCCAGGTAATTAATTTAGTCACTGGTAGAACCTAAGAGATATAAGAAGTAGATAATTATTTGTGAAAGGTCAGATTTGGTTTTTATTTTCTTAATTTTAAAACAAAAGTACTTTATTTAAAAGTCTACAATTTTAAATAATCTTGATTAAAAATATGTGAATGTTTGTGTGTATGTGTGTGAATTTTGGTTTTTTTGTTTCCTTTCTTCACTCACTAATCCTCTGAAAGATTTTACTAACAGAAGAGTGTTTGTCTGTTTGATTATGCTTTCAAAGAAGCTAGAAGAGGATTCTACATCTGGCAGCCTCCTCTACATGACATATACATAAGAATAGATATGTGTAATCAGTATAAATTCATCTTTTAAAAAAAGCTAAATAGCTCAATCTTCTAGCACAGTTGATAGGAAATTTTTGTTATTAATAAAAATTTAGAAAAAAGTCTTTCAGATTCACAGCTCACCACTAGTGTTATAATATAAAGATTTAGGATTGTTGTTTTCTTCACTTAAAACCTTTAAGATTTGGACAACATTCCATAGACTAGCATTTGAGTGTACACTGAAAAAATATTGTGTTTTATAAAACAGATAATGGTCTTCACTTTTATATGAACACCATTTTATATGAGACAAAAATTTGTTAAGCAATATAATTTTAATAAAAAATTCAACTTATAATTCAATGATAATCATCCTATTTTTTGAGACGTTGTTATGATTATAAACCTCAGGTAATATTTGAGGAAATATATATGCTTCAGGATATATGGAATTGAAAAGGTGAAAGGAATATTTTACTTTTAATTCCTTGTCCATTCTTCATTGAACATATCATTCTTGGTATGTCTGCTCACAAAAAGGATTACTCCACCCAGAAGGATTTGTACTTGTCTCTTTTCCTACCAGAAAACTGTATCATTTTATGATACCACACTTTCTCAAAAAGAAAACTGCAGCCATCCATGCCTGTATTATAAAAGTATTCAGGGAAAAAAATAGAAAAGAATTCTCAAATTCATTGTAAAACCACTTCTCAATTAGCAGTAGAGCCAAACTTTTCAAATAGTCAGCATCTTTAAGAATGTGGATCACTTTCTATACAGGGAATAGTCTCCAATGAGAATTTTGTAGTACGTCTTATATGTAGTGAGCTTTGGGGAGCTTTCTTTGAATATTTATTTGTGTGTTTGCTTCTATTTAAAACAAAAACAAAAAACAGTTTTTGTCAAACAATCCTGCAAGTTAGTCATATTTCTCTTCTTTTAAATGTGACTTTGAGGTAGAAAAACAAGACGGCGGCGTAGGTCACAGCTGCACCCGCCGCCTCCCGCAACCACATCAAAATTACAACTAACACACAGAACCACTGTCACTCAGAGCCTCCTGAGATCCGGCTGCACAGAAGCCCCACAACCAGGGACCTGAAGGAGCAACAAGACTGGGAGGAGGGGCGGAGACGCGGGCGGATCAGGGCTGGATCTGGGAAACCTGGCCTCGGGCCCACACCCGATGCTGTGGGTTAAACCCCGGAGGGAATCTTGGTGGTGGGGGTTTCCTGGAGAAGTGAGGAGCCCCAGCCCCACACCAGGCCCCCAGCCCAGGGCTCCAGGCCAGGAAGAGACATCCCCACAACTCTGGGCTGTGAAACCAGCAGGGACTGTCTCTGAGGATCACGGAGGCTGGGGGAGCCCCAGCAGCTCCTCCTAAAGGGCCCGCGCACGGACTCACTCGGACGCTCCCTCTGAGCCCAGCGCCGGGCAGCAGCCTGAAAGGACCTGGGACACTCGGGGAGAAACTAACCTGCCTGAGATCCGGGCGAGAGGCGGAGGGGCGGCTTCCTCCCAGGCAGAAGAACTGGTGGAGGCCATGGCTCCTTTGGCGAGTCCTCCCCGCACACAGCCCGGGGGCAGGCGCCATATTTGAATCCCCAGCACCTGACTCACACCTCTGGCCCTGCCCCGTGGTTCCCAGAGGCCCCACCCCTCCCCACCTGCAGCTCATCCAGGCCATTTCCAGGAGCTTTTCTCTGCAAGTGGCCTCTCGAGACTTATGCTTAAGACTTTCCCAAAATCTCTCAAACAAGTAGCAGCATGCCCCATATGGCTTGGTATGTGGCCCCAGGCCTGGCACTAGCAGCAGCCTGCACTGGCTCATAGCTTGGCCTCTCCTGGGCACCTCCAAGCCCAGCACAAGTAGCAGCCAACTACGCTGTGTAGCTCATGCTGGGTGGCCCTGGGCAAGGCACTGGCACAGGCTGACTTTGCACCTCCCGGGAGGCCCCAGAGACAGTGCACCTGGTGGTCAGACTTGACCACGCTGGATTACAACCCTACCACATACATGAGTGACACACTCAAGGGACACACTTGGTGAACACCAAAGCTCCACTGAAGTAAATCCTGCTCCATAGGGGTGTCTCCAGCACAGCAGCTCTTTGGCTATACTTTCAGCGGGTCCTCACAGCCGATTGGTCTGGGGGTCAGTTCCTCCCAGTGATGCCAACAGCAACCAAGGCTCAACTACAACAGGACAGTGCACACAGCCCACACAGGGGAGCACCTACAAGGCCCAGCTCAGGTGACTGGGGAGGCTGAGCCACTGGGCCCTACAGGACATCTACTACACAAAGCCACTCTACAAATTCCAGGAGACTTAGCAGCTCTACCTAATACACAGAAACAAACACCTGGAAGCAGCCAAAATGTGGAGGCAAAGAAACATGTCACAAAGGAAAGAACAGAAGAAATCTCTAGAAGAGGAACTAAATGAAATAGATCCAAGCAAGCTAACAGATGCAGAGTTCAGAATTTTGTTTACAAGTATGCTCAACCACATTAGTAAGAGTTTTATGAAAATAACTGAGAAAATCGATGACATAATAAAGCACCAATTTGAAATGAAGGCTACATGAACTGAAATGAAGAATAATTTATAGGGAATCAACAGTAGAGTAGAGGATGCTGAGAATTAAATCAGCAATTTAAAACATGAGGAAATAAAAAACACCCAACCAAAAGAGCAAAAAGAAAAAAGAATCCAGAAATATGAAGATAGGATAAGGAGCCTCTGGGACAACTTCAAAAGGCCAGCATCTGTATTATTGGGGTACCAGAAGGGAAAGAAAGAGAGCAAGAAGTTGAAAACCTATTTGAAAAAATAATTACAGAAAACTTCCCCTACCTGGAGAAAGAAATAGACTTACAAATCCAGGAAGCACAGAGGGTCCCAAACAAGAGGAACCCAAAGAGGCCCACAGCAAGACACATCATCATTAAAATGCCAAAGGTTAAAGACAAAGAGAGAATCTTAAAAGCAGCAAGAGAAAAGCAACTAATTACATACAAGGGAGCACCCACACGACTGTCAGCTGATTTCTCAACAAAACTTTGCAGGCCAGAAGGGAGTGGCAAGAAATATTCAAAATGGTGAAAAACATGGAATTACAACCAAGATTGCTCTACCCAGCAAAGCTACATTTATAATTGAAGTTCAGATAAAGAGCTTCTCAGATAAGGAAAAGCTAAAGGAGTTCATCACTACCAGACCAGTACTATGTGAAATGTTGAAGTGTCTTCTTTAAGAAGAAGCTAATGAACAAAAGAATCTGACAAACTAAATGGATCCAGAGACATAGACACATGCAACAGAGGATCATATTTCAGAGTGAAGAGGGAAGGGTTGTTGGGGGTAGGAGAAGATTAACCAAAGAAGTTATATGCATATATGCATAACCCATAGACACGGACAAGGACATGGTGAAGGCCTGGAGAAGGGGTGGGAGAGAGTTGGAGGGGAGTCATTTGGGGGGGAAAAAATGGACACCTGTAGTGCTTTCAACAATAAAGATTTTTTTTTTAATGTGACTGATTATACAACTATTAGTTATCAAATAAAAATAAGTAATACAAAATAAATTACATTATATTGAGACTATAGCTAGCTATTCATCTCATTTTTATTAATTCTCCCCCACAAAAATATGTATATTTATTTATTTGGGTGTTCTCCAAATATATATATACCATCATTTTTAAAAGTTGCATTTTAATAATAAGGGGATACTCTTGTTATTCTTTAATTCTGGATCAAAGTTTAAGCCTTTTCAATTAATTGGGTCAAAGCATCAACACAACATAAATGTCACTTAGATGGTACTTCAATTTACTTAATATTAAGGAAAAAAAAAAAAAAACCTTTCCCTCCTCCATGATATGAGATTAATTCAAGAGGAAGACCATCATCATTTATATAATCCTCTCTTATAAGATTGTAAAATTTTTATCCCAGTATGGAAATCAATGGACGATATTTAAAGAACTCTTTCATAAATGTACAGTAGGCAATTTCATGGTAATTTAGTGAAAACGTATTTATTAAATTGGGATTAACACAATCTATGTCTAACAGATTGACAGAATTTAATAAATTTAACCTGGTATGATTATACACTTGTATCTCTATTTAACAAAATTCAAGATTGTGACTTAAATGAGAACTTGTACTGATGTACAATGAGCAAATTGTAACTTCTGTTTAAATAAATTTAAAAAATTGTAGGATAATTAACAGTCTAATTTATTTTTAGAATGCTCAGGTATGTAAATAAGGTTGAGGATACTGAATTAGGACTTGGGACTCTGTATCTATCAATTAATTACAAAAACAGACCACGCTGACTGCTTAGGTAAGTAAACAGGAAATATATTACACTAGCTTTTTCGACTCTCATCTCTTTGCAGTGAACCAGATCACATAAGAAATATTCCATCATGAGTGAAACTTTTAAGCCTTTAAAATCTCTTAACCTTTGGAAACTGTAATGATTTTTGCATCCTTATAAGATGTATCCTGACTCCCACAGGCTTTTAATCTTGGGGTTGTATTTAATTTGGGGGACATATTTACATGACTTTGTAAACAACTTTGTTCTGCCTTAATTATAAATTGAAGAATGAACATTACTACTTCAGACAATTGAAAATGAATCAAGTTTTTTTAAAAAGTCATTTTCCTCATCTGAAAGAGAATGTTCTTGAGGACATGTCTCTGTCTGTATTCATGGAGCCCTTCCAACGGTCCTCCAGGCATGGGAATTTCTTAAGTCTTTCTAATACCTTTATGCATTTGATTGGAATCAGAAAATATTGGCAGATACTCTGAGAAGTGCAATAACATGAATGCTGCTCTTGCTTTGTTTTTCTCTTTAAAAGGTAACTTTCAAAATAATGTTTTAGAGGTTTATTATTCCTTACTGTGCTGAATATTTTTTAGTGGATAAGTATATCCATATGCACACAAATTTCCCCTTAGTGTTACTTACAAAAGAATTATCACCATTATCCTTTCCAACCTTGTAAACTAATGGAGAAATTTAGGTTTACAATGAACCTTTTAACATCATTTTTTATTGTTTTCTATTTATAATTCAATGATTTAAAAGAAAACCTTAGTGATATGATATCCTAATAGATTTATACTTAGTCTTCACACCATGCAGCAAAGGCCCCTACTGTTTTCATCAACAGGAAGTCTTCTAACTCAAAATCAAAGAAATAATCTATTTTCCTAATAGAGCATTTGAGTGTTGAAAACCAAAACATTTAATAGAACATTCAGGAATCACTAATATAGAACTAACTAAATTAGAGAAATATCTTCCTAATAGGAAATAGAGTCTATCCTAACCTTGTGCATAGATTTGCATGGTGTTCAAAAAACAAACTAGATCACCTTGATTAATCCCACTTTGTGTTGTGAAAATCTGCTGCATGGTTGACTGTATAATCACAAAGAAGAAAAATAAATAACTTTTATTTGTGGCGATTGGGAAAATGGTTGGCTGAAAAACAAGAACTACTGGTCAGACTTCAAGTTTGGCTCTGTGTCAGTCACACCCAGACATTGAATGGCCTTTGTGCAGATGGTGGACATGATGATTCTTTGTGGATGACAACAAGCAGAAATCTCATTTTGCATTTGTATGTGTATGGGAGTGTGTGTTCATCTTGACTTGATTGAATTACAGGTTAGACTAATTGAAGAAAGTACATTTAAAAAGAAGGTTCTCATTTTAGTTTTATTGTAGTGAGTTTTATTCTTAATTTTCTTAAAAGGCACCCAAGAATAATTACCTTTGTGAACCAAAAATATACAAAACTGTACAGAATAAATAGTTCATAGAAATCTAGCTATACTTTCTTGTAAAATAAAGCTACATTGTGCCACTCTTGAGGCAACTTAAACCACTTACCTTCAGAAGTGCCTTTTGCTACTAATTTATGGCAACTATCATTATACATCAATAAAAATATAAAATAACATTTTTTCCTATTTGTTTTACACCTGTGAAATACTTGCCACAAGAAACATATTTCTATCATGGTCATTCAAATTTACAAAGGATCAATGCTATAAAGGAAACGAAACTTAATAGATGCACTAATCATATTTACAGTTGAATATCAGTAGCATTTTAAAAATACTCCAAGAATAAGACTTAAACTTTGAGCACAAATGACATACCTTAGTTCACAGCAGCATTGACAGTAAGATTGTCTACACAAAATGTGCAGAAAACCCAAAAAGTTTGCTTATTTATTCCACCTGTACTACTAATCATTCTTAATTTTAAATTCAGAAAGCATAGCCGGGGCATTTTTTTTAATCCTCAAATGTTCAAGGTTTTGGCTCACTCCTAGCCTATATAACTCAACCTTTCATTTTTTTCTTTACTATTTGTAATTTTAAAGGTCCAATTCCTTTAAATAAAATTAGGTGCATTTGACAATGTACATTTTTTCAGTACTTATACTGGTTATATAAACAATATATTCCTTACATATTATAACTACATATACAAGTATGATTTTTAAATGACAAGATCCAATTCTATCCAATCCACAAGTAAAGTAATTCAAGAAAAATAGGATTACTTGAATAGTCAGCTCTTTTAGATGTGCAAGAGGACTTCTGAGAAACACTATTAAGTATCATCCTTGAATGATTTACATGCAAGGATTTGTTTTGTTGGGGACAGACAAAATTGCCAAAAGACAATGCAATGGCTTCTCCCAGTGATCCCTGAGTTTCTTTCTTTTTTTTTCCACAGGAGTACCGCTGTGCTTAAATTCTGATTGATGACACACTCATGTAAGGCACTTATTTACAAGATTTTGACTTAAGACAGAATCACAGCATTTCTTCAAAAGCCCTCAAACTCTCCATCTATGTTTGCTGCTCCAGGACCTCTAAGTAGTCAGGTTCAGCATGCAAGTTAGCTTTGAGCTCAAAATATTCATTTTTTGTCTGTTCCACTAAGACTTTCCTTGGCCTCGAGTACATTAATGTCTCCATTAATTTTAACTCTTCGTGGGCTCCTGGATAGTGTACCTCCATATCAGGCTTGAGTTGAGCAATGTTCTTCTTTAGGTATTCCGTGATTCCCAGTTGCTGGAGTTCTCTTTCCTTCTCTAAAATGTTCCTATACAATGAACTGGCATCTTGGAAGGACAAAAATTCAGTCGACTGGTCTGTGGTTTTGTACTTCACATTTGAGCCTGTGAGTGGCGAATGATTTTCCCGTTCTAGAAGACTTCTTTGGAGATGTTTTGCATCACTTCCCTCTTTCTCATTCTTTTCTTCTTCCACTTCCAAATGCTTTGGGCCAAAGGATGGACTTCTATAGACATGAACCATGGGGCTCACCATGTGCTGCTCATACAGTGATGCAGTGGGTCTTTCAGTGGTGTGGTGAGTTGTTTTATGGCCATACATGCTGTATTGAAGATGTACGGGACTATTGTCTCTGATCTGCTCATCCGCTTGTTTCTTTTTGTATCTTCTCCTACGATGCAGAACAAGAACCACTATCCCTGCCGCGCAGAACACAATAGTTATAAAAACAATCAGCAGTCCCAGTATTAAAACGGATAGTGGCACAGCATCGGTAAGTGATCTTAAAACAGTATCGGCTGTAGGAGTATTGACAATTATGTAGCTAGTCTGAGTTGGCAGGGATGGGTTGTTGGCCAAACCTGGGCAAAGAAGGTCACTATTCAATGCTTTTAATTCCTTCTTGTATAGGTGCTCTGGAGAAGCGCAGAGGATGTCATCTGTCACTGCATTCTTACTTAATTTTTGTATCCATTGCTGCAATCCAACAAGGTCACAGGAGCAATCCCAGGGGTTGTCCTCAAGGTCAATCTGGGTCAGTAAATCAAGTTCATCCAAGATATTACTTACAGGTAGATGAGTAAACTGGTTTGTTTTAAGATTTATCCTTGTTAGTGGAACCCCTGAAAAAATATGTGGTGGTAAAACTTGTAACAGATTATTATTTAAATACAGGACTCTAAGTTTAGGCATTGGGTTAAAGGTTCCTGGTAATATTTCCTTCACTGTATTATATTCAAGATATAAGTACTCAAGATTGTGGAGACCAAGGAACATGGATCTACTTAATTTGGTCAGATGGTTACCATTTAAATAGAGCTTCTGTAATCTTGTCAAATTCATAAATGATCCTTCTTCAAGAACCTCAATATGATTGTTTCCTAAGTGAAGCATTTCCAGAGTGAAGTATTCCACTAGATCAGACTTCGTTATTGTATGAATAATATTTCCTGCTAGAATAAGCTTTCTAGGATTTTGCGGAGGAGGTTTTAGATCCGATACACTTTCAATATTGCGTTCTTGACAGTGTATTAGAAGTCCTGATGGGGTCAGTACTTTGCAGTTACAAGGAATAGGACAGTAGGGTCCTGGAAGTTGAGTGGATGGCTTTGTAAGGTATGGTATCAAACCCGGTGCTTTGGTGGGTGGTTTTAAAGGGGATGCAGTCTTGATTGACATGCGACTGTCACTAATTGAAGATGTTACTGCCAGATGTAATGATCCTGAAGGATCCTCATGCTCTTCATACACCGGTGGGGTGGGGCAAATTGATTCCATTTTCAGTCGGCTTAGTATGCTTCCTTTGAAAACTGGAGGGCTGTTGCATACAACATCACCAATTATAGACTGTGGAGGCATGTTTTCCAACCAAATTTTTAGCTGTAGTAAGTCACAATTGCACACCCATTTATTGTCCTCCAATTGGAGATCCAATATTCTGCCAATATGTTCTAAAAAACCAACATAAGGCAATGTTTGCAACTGATTTCCACGAAGATCTAGATGGGTTAAAGGAACAAATCGAAATATGTTTGGAGGAAGACTCTCAATAGCATTGTCATTTAAAATTAACACCTTAAGTCTGTTGAGCTTGCTAAAGGCACTTGGTTCAATCACTGTAATAAAATTGTTATCTGCCTGTAGAAATTCCAGGTTTTCCAGACCATGGAAGGTATCCTCTTTAAGAATTTCTAAAGAATTGTGATTGATATGAAGTTGCTTTAGGAGGCCAAGGCCATTAAATGCACCAGTCTCAATATCTGCAATGTTGTTAAATCCAAGGTGTATTGAGATAGCATTGCTAAGCCCAGAAAAGTCATTTGTGTGAAGCATTGTCAAGCCATTATTTAATAAACTTAAGTGGAAAGGTCGTGATGGTGGCACACTGATTTGAGATAACGTCTTGATACCTTTTTCTTCACAATTTATTAGAACTGTGCCGTCTTTTTCCTCGCAGTTACAAAGGGAATCACAGGAACCTCTGGCGGAGGACTCTGGAGACTGGGACTGTGAAGACATATAGGCAAGGAGAGATGAATAGAAGAGATGAATCCACAGCTTCATGTTGTCCTGTGATGGAATCTGATTCTGTAAAATAAAAGGCAATAACAATGGGCTTTAGTGGGCAGGAGCAGGGGGGAAATGAGTCTGATGCTTTCAAAATGATAAGTTTTCTTCTACAAAGAAAAACATTGATTACTGTGAAAATACAAATACTTTGCTATATCTACATTGTCTTTTACTTTTTTCTATTATGATGACAGGTGTGTTTTAATTTACTTTTAACTTGCATTATGATCAAATTGTAAAATTTAAGTCAAGGAGAATTTAAAATATTATATCCCCAGTTGTGTTCATATCTGCCAAATAAACTGCATTTCAATAGATGACAGGGGTGTTGGCTAAATGGACCACTGATTTCTTGATAGGATGCAAAGGTGTATGTTTGAAACAACACCGAAGTTCTTTTCACCACAAAGGAGATTAATATAAGACTGAAGGATTAAAGTATAAGACAAATATGTAAGTATTAGCCAGAAGCAGAGAGAACTGTAGAAAATAAAAAATGATAGAAAATGTGTATGCATCTATTATGCATTTCATTTATATTTTTTAACTTCATGTCACAATATAACATCTAATAATGTGTCTGTGTTTTAACCTGCTTTGATTTTGGCTCAATATACTTATTAATTACATTGTTTATTTGAAACCTTGAAAAAAATATGCCTCTGACCATGTAATAAAGTGGAACACTATAAAAAGAATTTTGCTTTAATTGTGCTGTCTAGGGTACTTTGTATCAGTCTAATAGTATTAGATATGTGTGATTAAGAGTCCCATTCAAATCTTACTTCAGTCACACTTTATATTGAATTTCTAGACATAGAATATTTTCTGTTACTTTTAAATTCTGTTATGAATAAGGTTAATATCATTAAAACTAAAGAAGAAAAACTGATCTTGAGCACACATTTCTGGCTATTATAAAGGAATAAACAATGCCACATATAAACTTCTAGCAAATGACTTCCTAATGAGATCTTGAAACAGGCTTTAGGGTATTGAATGTCATCACGTAAGTAAGCGGTTGATCTCTTTTATTATAAGGCTGTAAGTCACAAACAATGAACTCTGAAACAAATTGCACTATACTAAAACGTTTGAGAAGATCTCTAATTTTCTAAATAAATAATGACAGTTCAGAATAACAATATCACATATTCTAGTTCCTTAAACATTTAACACATGCATCTGAAACAGCAATTTTTAGTAAAGATTCTAACTCTGAAATGACAGTAATGACAAGATAAATGCATAACTGTAATAGTATCTAATTTTATTCCCTTCCTTTAACTATTGTACCTTAAATTTATATAAACTAAATTGAAAGGTAAATAAACCCCACACCTTATAACTACTCAATTTTTCAAAATGAAAATTGCTTTCGTTTTCTTGGATGGAATGTATATAGTAACTTTGAATCTAATTAAAATTCATAATCAGATAAAACATACCAGAACCCAATCAATAAGCCTGAAAATAAACTTTTATTCCAAGAAAACGCATTGTTTTATTGAAAACATTTAGAGTATAAAGTTTCTGAAAGGTAAAATGTAGCCAAAGAAATAAAACAACATAGTACCTTTCTATGCAAAGGAAAACTTAGCAGACTCAATATTTTGAAAAGGAAATGGTTTAATTTTTAACACCTCTGAGAACTGTGCCTAAGATCAAGCATCTTGCAGTTGGAGTCTTTAACTTGTGGATTGGCTTCCACAAACATTAAAGTACTTCTCCATAGATTACCAAGAAAGAATATTATTCATTTCACCAGGCACAGCATCTTGAAAAAAGGGTAAATAACTTCCAGATGAAAATATCTCATGCCTTTTTCATCTTATATGCATTTTATGTTCTTCCAAATGTCCTAGAAAACAATTTCTAATATTTTCAGAAATACATACAAATTTGAAGAGTGGTTCTATATTGACAATATCTAATCCAATGTTAAAGAGGTCAAAAAATCTCCATATATTTTTAGAAAACACTGTTAAGTCAGGAAAGAATAAAAGTAGTATACAAAATACAAAGAATCCTTTAATATTCTGCTTATGTTTGAAGTTCAACAGTGGCATTTGGAACTGATCTCTTTTTTTCCCAGAAAGCACACATATTTAATGTCCAATAACAAACTGCAAGCTGTAAAAATTATAGTGGCATATTATTTTATTTGTTCTTCTCTACAGCCAGCTGTTGGACTAAATGTCTGCTGCTCAGAGAAAACGGGCATCTGCTACAGCATTAGTTGTGACAATGAGAAAGAATGAAACTGGAGATCCTCTAATGCAAAGTTATATTTTTCAAAGGGGCAAACATATACATTTCAATCACGTTAGGATAATAAAAAAACTAGGTATCGCAAAAGCCTGGAAACATTCATCTTACCTGTAAAGCAGAGACTCTTCCTGACGTTATCTGTAATGCACAGCTGGAAGGGATGTTCAAAGTAAATTCAGTTTCTTTATTAAAAAAGAAAACACTAACCACTGTGTACTTTCTTCTCAAATATCACTTTTTGGCAAGTCCCGTCACTTTATAAAGTGAAAGCCTCTGGTCAAAGACAAAGTGCTGAGCATTTCACTGAAAATATTTCAAGCAGAGTGCATACTAGATCATCCTGAAGCAGTTGTCCTTTTCTTCCCCAATTAAAATTCAGGGCATACTTCACAGCTATGCTGACTTTTTGCATATAGTTAACCAGTTGCAAGCTGCTGAAATGCAGTCTATAAACAAGATGTTTCACAGAGCTGGGGCTGATCACTTGCTGTCTCAGGTTGTAGATCCAAGCTGCAGCAATGTTCTCTTTCCTCTCTTTCTAGTCTTTCTTGTTAGCTCAGTTTGTTATTAGTCAGATTGCCAAGGGCTGGGAGGTAGGCGTAAATAAAGAGACTTCTTGGCTTTTGGCTCAGCCTTTAAGCCCTTCCCCATCAGAGAGCTTTAATCTGCCAGTGTCATTTAACAGAGGAGGCAGCTCCACCTTGGGACTGCTCAACTCCTCCTCTTTCTGCAAATGGTCTTTCCACTCCCTTTTCGTACCAAATATAGTGCAAGGAAGTTTTGATGAAAACAATTACACGTCATTTGAACGTTTAAGATTATTTTGTGTTATACAGAAAGCTAAATAATTCATCATGTTAAATTATCATCTGGCACAGTACTTTGCTATTTGCAGACACGTGTGCAGAAAAACTGCATGCATGCTGCCTGGAGAACAGTGGCTTCAGTTTTATTTTGAAATTGTGCATGAAATAAATTTTAAAAAGTCCACATGAACTGCTTTCTTGCAATATTTGCATTTTTCTATTCACCCTTTTAACATTTTTTTCAAAGCCTCATGCCAGAGACTCTGAGTTTTATACTTCATTAATTCTTTCCCTACAGCTAAGACTCAATGATGAGATTAGAAATGAGGTTCTTTTTCAGTTAAGGTAATATTTATTTGGAATGGAAATATGATTATTATAAATTACACTCAAGAATCTTTATTGCAAATGGTTGTCATTCATCAAACACTGCTTATTGCTCAAAAATATAAAATTGTATCTTTTCAGATAAAGTAAAACAAGTTAAATGAGTACACAGAAATGAAAATATCCTGATTTTTTATGGTACTAGGTCATTTTTCCCCTAAAATGGTTATATTTTAAAAGTTACTCATTTCTTCAACTGTTAAAAGTTTCTGAATCATCACTAATATAACTCTCAACTGTCAGATTCCTTATTTCCCCAAATGCCTATGTTTTAAAAATCATTCCTCTTTACCTGTATTCCAAGTACCTAAACTTTTTCACATCCAAAAATGAATATACAAGATGCTATGTTTAGAAACACTCTTGCCTATAGGTTCTAGAGTCTACCTATATAATAGTAGGTCTCATTTCAGCAAAAGCTACTTCTAAGAAAGAGGTTTTATGCAGATTAAATCATCAACATGGGAGAAAATTAGATTGGATTATTATATAATGACAGTCTACATGCAGGCACTCAAAGTCATCATTTCCATATCCTTAGTGTGGAAGAGCTGCTTTAAAATATAAGGATGTTGATGCAATTTTTAACACCCCATCTTTCCTTTATATTATATTCTCTCACTCATTAAACTCATTTATTTTAAAGACGCTGTGTGCTCTAAGATGGAATAGAGATTATAAACACAGGTGAAGAAGTGGGGAAGGAGAATAAAGATGAGAAATGAGAGAATAAAGGGAAAAAGAAAGAATGGAGGTGAGGAATCGGTCTTAGGCACAATCTGCTACCAGCTGAGGACCAAGTCAACCAAAATCAACCTATTAATTTAGGTAAGTAGTGACAAAATAGTTACAATCAATGGGGGAAAAGGGACTAGAATAATTTCCCTACCAGCACCACAGATGTAATTCTCCAGATGTATTTCTTTAAGGTTTGGAGGCAAAAGTCACAGAAAAAATGTTCTTGAAGTAGAGTTTGTGGAGGAATTTTGTTCAAAGAAACATGTGCGACAAAAGGAACTACACTCCTTATAGATTTAGGCAAGTTTCTCTCATTTTCTCCAATTTGAACATGTATCTATTTTATCCATAATTTACACCTAGCAGCTATTTGAAATTATATATCTTGAATTCCCTGCTTACATGTCGCATGTTGTCTCATTCGTGCCTAAATTACCAGTTAATGACACGATAGAAAGGAAGGGAAGTGACTAATGAGCCAGTTCTTTTTCTTCTTTACCTTTTCAGTAAGTTCTGGGTGGGAACAGAAAATAAGGGTAGGTGCAGAAATGTTACTTGAGGAGCATTCTGTAACTTAATTCAAAGGAGTGATGTGGATAATGAATTACTCAGCACTATCTCAAACTTAATGAAGCATACAATTTAGCACATTCCAAATGATTATGGCTACAACCACTGCTCTCTACGGCTGGTTCCTCAGTTGTTTCACTCAATCCGTCATGCCACCATTTCCCCCCAAAATGCTTATGGCAGAATGTGTTAATGATGGTTGGATAACTTTTATTTTAACATTATTTTTAATTTCCAATTCCATAAAAAGTACCTTCCCTTTGTAGCTTTCTCAACGTTTTAATAATAAATTTGTCAAGTGATCATAATAAATACTACTTTCCACATAATTTACCCCCAGTGACTCCATATTTATGTTAAAAAGTAATCAATTCTTTTTAATCACATCCTCTAAGCTATGTGTTATTGTGACGTTTACTGTTTTTAGAATGTGTATCTTAAAGGGAGAACATTAAAGTATCTAATCACCCTGAGGAATACCAAGTGGTCAGAAGAAACACAGTTGTCCCTGTTGTCACTTCAGAGCAGCGAGTCCCACACGGGGAGTTGGGAGGCTGCCTTCCCTTCCCTGCCTACGCAGATGGGGGAGGCAATCCTTTTACATATCCAAAGATAATAAAGGCCAGATGGGGTAATGTTTTATGAAATTTGTTGGACTGATAAAGCATATAGGACAAATAATACAAAAAGATCAAGGCTAAGCACTGGAAAGAGGAAAGAAAATTAAACAATGAAAGAGATCTATTCATCCTGTATAGAACTAGTTCTACCTCAGAGCATCTGCCCATCCTTCGCAATGCCACGTTCCAGTGGTAAAGTGAAGGCATATGTAGGATTGATTTTGGCTTAAGAATCTGGAAGGCCTGAAGAGAGAAGCCTTTGCACCATCTGTGGTGTAGACTGAAGAATATTTAAATACTCTGAAGGTGGAAAGTGTAACACAATGACCCTTTGGGGGTGATAATACTATAGATGGATATTAAATATTCACTGGTGGTTTCACTCTTTGAAGAAATAATTTAAACACAGAAATTATCCTAAATCAATTGTCACTTTTTAAGTATTTATACAATTAAAAGAAATACTCATCGCATATCATTGGGAAATAACTATTACTGTGAGCTCTGTCTGCTCAGTACTGTTAGGGTATTACACTGAAACTCATGATAATACTATTAAAATTGAATACTATCGATATCTGCAATCAACATCTAAATTACAGTTATATAGAGACCTTGTGTGCTGTTTTTAACATTACTATAGGCATTTTTCCTTTTCTTATTTCAAACTAAAAGTCTTTCTTTAAAATTGTTAATACTTTTAAAAAGGTATGTCTGTTTCATTATAAAACTCTAAAGGAAATTCAAAAGAAATAAGAAAAGTAAAATTCACTTACAATTCCCTAGCTTAAATTCAACTCAAATATTTATTTTGTATTCCAATGCCGTCCATTGTATACAAAAGTTATAGCTCATAAAATATTTTTTAATCTTTGAAAAATAATAGAGTAAAATCTAATTGAAATACATAGTTTGATTGCCATAAATCCCATTCATAGAAAATAATAACAAAATAATGTTGCCTTTCATTTTCCGCAATGCCATGCTCTATAGTGGATTTTTAATTTGATCCTCAGATCTGGAATGTAGGGTCCTCACTCACTGGGAGAGAGGCCCAAAACACTATATCGGCATTTCTTTGGGGGGCGGGAGAAGTTTCTGTTAGTATCAGAGCTAAATCATTATGAATAACTTGATTTCTGACAATAACATGCAATTTAATAAAGGACAAGTACCTGTGACGTGGAAGAAAGGAAGATGTTCTACCCTTTCAGCAATAACATCTCTGTATATCAGAACGTTTGTATGTGTTCATCGTGAAAAATGACTTTCAGTGAAAACTTTATACATCTTAAAAAGAATTTATATGGAAGATACAATATTTTATGCAGTCACAAGTGAATGGGTTTTTAGGACTTGCCTTTCACATTGAGCGTTCAACAAAGAGGTTAATGTGTTATGTGAATCTTAAGTTTCCTTCATGCTCAATTTGATTTCAGATCAAAGGTATAAAGCTAATAATGGAATTGCCTTATTCTGAAAGAGGTCTTACAATAAAACTTCCTGTTCTAATTTGAAATCTGTTGACACAAAGGAACTCTCTAATACCATTGTTTAACCTGGCAAAACCTAAAACATAACAAAAACTTTTTCCTTGAAGCTTGTATTATTAGCTGTCTTCATATAAAGTATTTTTGAGATTTCATAAAATCCCCTACTTCAAATGGATGCCTAAGAAAATTGTTTTTAAAAATTACCAAAAAAATCCCTACAAAATGTAGATGAATATTTCCATAGTGAATAACTAACAGTGTGCAAGAAAACAAAGCCCAGTGGAATAATGCCGGACTGTGAGTTATTTTGATTGTAAATACTCCTTGAGAGAAGGCTAGTATTTACTTTGTATTTTTTTCCATAGTACTACAGAGTGAGTTGAACATAGAAAACAGTCAAACAGTTACTCAAGATGAATTGTTTCTTTGTACATTCTCACTCTCATATAACCTTAGGACATTTACTTACTAGTTCTTAAGAATGTATAAAGATTAATTTTTTTAAAAAATTGTTCATATGACAAAAACATAATGTTAAAGGACAATATTGAAAACTAAAAATTAAATATTGATCCTCTGGGTCTTTCCAAATGTTGATATATAGAGTTATTATAATGCAACCTGTGTGACTACATTATTTTGTATTCAGATGATTAACGATAATGATAGGTAAATACTACTGAATCAAATATGCATAACAGAGTATTAGGTTGGTGGATCACCTGCAAATTTTAAATCCCTGGTGCTTTCCCATTGCCAATTACAATTCAGATACCATTGCCTCTCCCTGTCAACTATAGCTGTGTCACTGAGGGATGCAAACTTTTTAAATAGCTTTAATATTAAAATTAAGATATTTAACCATTTTTAGAAAACATGTCAGTTGGTGTTTAATGTAGTATTTTAACAACATAATGTTGGAAATACCATGACCATAAATATTATGTGTGTGTATATACATATATATACATATATATAATTATTCTTTAAGATTATCTATATGGAGATATCTCCACAGAGTGAAATAAAACTAACTTTTTCAACCTAAAACTGATTAGTTGGCATGGAAATTTAACTACCAAACTTTA